AAAAGTTATTTGTTTTATTTTTATTTATATTAATTTATTTATTTATATTTATTTTGGAGGGCAAGAGGGACAGACCACGAGAGGGGGAGGGGCGGAGAGAGAGGGAGACAGAATCCCAAGCAGGCTCCAGGTTCCCAGCTGTCAGCACAGAGCAGACCGGGCCTGAACCTTCGAACCCTGAGATCATGACCTCAGGCGAAGTCGGATGCCTAACCAACTGAGCCACCCAGGTGCCCCCTTTCTTTTTTGTTATGTTTATTTATTTTGAGACAGAGAGAGTGGGGGGAGGGGAGGAGAGAGAGGAAAAAGAGCGTGAATGGTGGAGGGGCAGAGAGACAGAGGGGGAGAGAATCCCAAGCAGGCTCCACACTGTCCCCACAGAGCCCAATGAAGGGCTCGAAACCACGAACGGTGAGACCATGACCTGATCCGAAATCATGAGTCGGAACTGACTGAGCACCAGGCGTCCCCATATAGTTCTATTTCTATTCTAGTAACAAGCAGTCAGATGAAATTCGATGGCAATGATAGTAACATTAAACGCACGACTATTTAGGGATCTAACAAGACGTGCGAGCCCTGCGGTCCGGAAGCTACACCCCGTCGCCAGGAGAGCAGGGAGCGCCGAGCGAGCGAGGGCGAGGCCCGCTGGGTGGGGGCCGGGGGTCTCCCGGGAACGGGCGGCGGAGCGGGGGCCGCAGCACCACCGGTGTGGGGCGCGAACACGGTGTGAGGGGCTTTGCCATTTGTGTCTCCGTGGGGAGGCTGTCCCGCACTGGCGCCGCTGGGACAGGGACCGCGCGTGGGAAATGCTTGTTGGATAAATGAGAATAGCTAGACTGAAGGGGAAGCCAGAAGGACTTGCGCTCCTCGCAGGAGCACCCTTCTCTAGAACGGAATGAAGTCGCAGGGATGGGAGCAGAGGGCTGGGTCCCCCGAGGGCGCTGTAGCTCCCAGGCACGCACGTGTGGCAGAGCCCCAAAGGTGCGGAAGGGAGTGACAGGCCTCACCGTGGACGGGGTGGCTCTGGTGTGCCCTGTGGGGCGCAGACTGGAGAACCAGGGCCGGGGTCGCCGTCGATGGCTAGGGAGCACTCGGGCTTGCCCTGGTGAGTCCTGAGTCGGAGGCAGGGACAGGAAGTGGGGAGGCCCTCGGTGACTGATCAGGTGCTGGCCCTTCCGGGTCATCGTTACAGGGGTTGCTGTGCGGCCTCCTGGACCAGTTGCTACAGTTACTGGTTCGACTTCCTAGGAGTGTCACTTGTGGCAGCCTGGCTTTCTGACTGACGGCTCGGGGGAGGGCCGGATGTGGGGGTCTCTGCAGGTGAGGGTCTCTGCAGGTGAGGGTCTGGGTGTGGGTGGTCGTTCAGGTGAGGGCGGGCCAGCTCCGCCCCGACGGTGGTGACCAGCGCATCTGCCTTCCCGCAGATCCCTCGGTGGCGGGTCTTAGCAGAGGGGATCGCGGTTTCCCAGCCGGCGCCCCGCCCGCGACCACCACGCAGCGTCAGTCCCGTCCCTCGCCGCGCCTGCGCACGCGTGTC